TTGTAAACAGGCAGTGAATATAATGAAAGATGTAAAAAAAAAAAAAAAAGAAAGAAAGAGATGGTCTTAATGTTTTAATAGTTTGAAAAATCACTCCTATGCCAATGTTCTTAAGGTTTTAATACTTTGAAAAATCACTCCTGCTTTAAAACTGGGGAACTGCAGTATAATATAGATTCTAATACATTTTTTGTAAAGGAATGAATCTACTTCTTTAAAAAAAATGACTCGGGATACTGAAATGATCAACTCTAAAGGACAGCTTCTTCCTTAGGCTGCATTCAAACTCACATTCGTTTTCTAGCTTAAAGTGCAAAGCTTCAAAAACGCTCAAACTTAAAAAATTGATTGTTCTCTAGGGTGCCTGTTCAGGAGATCAGATGTGAACAAGCACCCTAGAGAACAACTGATTTACGTTTGAGCTTTTTTGGAGCTTCAAGCTACAAATCGCTCAAGTGTGAATGCAGTCTTTCTCCTAGGGACAGAGATTTTAGATTAGCACTAGGACTAAACACAAGCAGGTGAAGTAGGGGAAAAACATTTTGCTATTTTCTCACATACATATGTCAGATTTGATATGTTGCTGTGCATAAATGCTAGTTTTCTGCCACAATCTGACTGATACAAAAGCAAGAATGATGGCCAGAGTGATCTTTGATTTAATGTTTGCGGAGATCCATCAGGCGTCTAAAGTCTATGGTCATCCTTCCATCTCACAGTAGGTATAATTCTACTGTAACAATGCACAGTTAGGTCAACTGCTGAAACCCAATATACCGCTGTTAAAGGTAAAATAAATTCCCAGCCTAAAGCTGGCTATACATTATACCAGCCTTTTTTAACAGGGGTGCCTTGGCAAAATTCCTAAAAATTGCCCAAAAATTGTACACAAGCCAGCAGGTGGATCAAGCCTGCCTTTTAGTTACACAAACCCATGGGTTTTCATTATGCACCATTACAACCAATGTTTCGAACAACCAATGACATCATCAGTTGATAAACAGTATGTTGATCGTCTGCACAGCATCCTTGTTTGCCTTCCCCCTGGCCCTTTCCGTCAGTGCTGGAGTCACATTAACTGAGTGATGGGGAAAAAGTGGGGAGAAGAGAAATACTGAAATGCTAGTCAATACCAGTCTACAAAAGTGTATTTGATTTGGAAGAATAAATCACCTCTAATGTTGCGTGTACTACGTGTGTGGATGTTGATACATTGTGTAAAACTATTAGAATAGTTTTTTTACATTTTAGAATGGGGTGCCTCGAGGCTGTCAATAATTTTAAAGGGAGCCTTGACTGAAAAAATGTTGAGAAACACTGCATTATACAATCAGATTGCAGGATCTTCTTTGGATTTATGTATTACTAGGACAAACCTAAACTGTCCATTACATTAGTATCAAATCAAGCAGGCTCCTGTACTACAGAGTTGATGTCAGATCTAGAGGAAGTGATAAAATCAAATTGTATAGTGTGGTCAATGGTAGGATACTCCAAAGACAACCCAACCTTATTACAATCTGGGAAGACATTATAGGCATGAAAAAAAGCATTCAATGCATTTTATTTTAAACAATGCACATGGTGAGAATGTATGTGGTCAAATCCAAAAGGTTCAAATATTTGCCCTTATTTCTAGTAGTGCTTTGGAATTTACATTCATTAGTAAAATGTTGATATCATTAAAAGTCATCTACTTTCATTTATGTTTAGGATATGGTGAGTTGATTCACCCTTTGTTTTTTTAGATCACTTGAAGGCAAGATCTTGCTGCAGTAATGTGTGTTTCTGCTTCTCCAACAAGACCTTGCTAGTGGTGATTACAGTTGTCTTACCCTTTATTGGGCACTAGGGAAAACCTAACTGAAAAGCTTGATCCATCACCTTACTGTCCAATGGCTGCAGTGGTTAGGCAACACTTATAGTATGGAGGAAGGATCTTGACACAGCAACCCCTCTGTTATACAAAATCACACAGTAATTCAATTGCTGAAACACTGAAATCTCAGTTTTGGGAGGAGGATCTTGTGGATTCCCTCAGTATGAAATTCCATCCTCTTCCTCTGTATTACATATAAAGGTTTTGAGCTAAAACATTTATGGGGCAACCTATAAGAATGATAAAATGGCAGCCGATGTAGCTTAATTCCCTTTAGAAAACATCATTGCTGTGGGGTTGCTGTGTCAAGATCCTTTCTCCATACTATAAGTGTTGCCTAATCACTGCAGCCATTGGACAATAAGGTGATGGATCAAGCTTTTCAGTTAGGTTTTCCCTAGTGCCCAATAAAGGGTAAGACAACTGTGATCACCACTAGCAAGGTCTTGTTGAAGAAGCAGAAACACACATTACTGTAGCAAGATCTTGCCTTCAAGTGCACCTACGGAATGCCTGCCAAGTCAAGCAGGAGTTTTGACCGAAAAGGGATATAAATAATTTAGCAGTTATGTTGAGAATGCTTACGATTTTTTAAAATACCATAAGGAAAGACATTTTAGTTGAAATATTAGGACACAAAATAGCTCAGAACACCAATACTAAGTGGACTAAACAGTGGCACCAGGATCACATCCTCTTTGTAATTTTCAGCCCTGGTTAAGTGGCAATTTCTGATATAAAGTGCATGCCCCTTTCTTATATACAAGGCAAAATTTACTACTGCAAAACATATGAACTACACATTGATGCCTCTAGAATGCATAGCATCTCATTCAAAAAGTGGCAGCCTTTATGAATTTAGTAACACAAAATTGGTAAATAAGCTGTATTTAAAATGAAATAAATGGCATTCATGTGTGCTATCCCCTTTGCTATACCTTTGTAATAATTTAAAAAAGGCAATTAATATTTTAATGTTTCCAACATGCAGTTTATTTATGAATATTAACACTAGAAACACATCCTTAAGTGCAGACCCCTTTCTCGTTCCCCTCTAAGGTGCATGGTCGCTTGTCTAGGTTATTTATACAACAGCAACTAGGTTCACAAGTGCCATCATTCATATCACTGTGGTGCACAACACCAAAACCAGAAACCTCTGGGAGGTCATTCCTGCTCAAAATACTGATATATTGTGTGAATGCGAAGCCCATAAGAGCTGCCTAGCAACAATAAATGCCAAATGGGGCTAAAATACAGTTTTGCTATCTAGAACATGTGGTCAGCAAAAGGAGTTTATATCAGTAACACATACAAAATAATGTGGGGTGTGGTTATCAAGGTTTCTCTGAGATTTATGTCCAACAATGAGGGTAACACTACAGTATGAGTCTCAAAAATGGAAGAATGCTTCTGTAATACTAGCTGAAAATAACAGCCAAGTGTCTGGCAGGAGAATGGAAGCCAATTTCAATGTAATGTATAGTGTTATGCGCTAAATCCACTCCCTAAATTCAAGCACAAGAGGAAACGCTGATGACCATATCATTTTTCTGCTATGCAGACAGCTTTTAATAGCCAAACACGATTTGTGTGTAAAAATGATAACGATACCCTACAATACTTCTTGTAACAGCAGTCATACCTAATTTTAAAAACCTGAATAAAAATAACCACAATCATACTTTTTTTCCATCCCTGAAAGTGCATACACTGAACAAGACAAGATGGCGGCTTCCTGTCTTGCAGCATTAGTGTTATTATTTGCCGTCTAATACTCTATCACTTATAACACTGTTTACTCTTTCTTTTCAATGGCATTCAAATGTAATGGCCGGTACCTCCCAATAGGTTAAACATCTGTACAGGGTTTGGACAAAACTATGGAAACAGCAGGTAAAAGAACAAAGTTGTTACCTAATATGAAGAATATAAGTTGAATGCACTTTGGCTTCCAATATGGCCTAATTCTCCACTTTCACACAGGCAAATCATGAAGTGTTTCCATATTTTTGTCCAACCCCTGTATATTTGTGTAAGTACAGATTTTACTGTTATAGTGTGTGACATATCTGACTCCCAAAAGTAGCCATCGTGTGTCACTAATTCAAACAGTGCCCACATCAGTGACTCCATTATAGAGGGAAGCCTTACCTTTCAAACATACAGATAAAGTGAATTGCAATAAAGTACTATGAAATGCTAAACTCCACTAAAATCTTACAAATTATGTGAAGATATTAAAGAGACAGCAGCGAAAGGTTAAGACTAGTTTTGTCTGTGTGAAGGCTCTGGTTCTACACCTAATATAAAATTTTAAACTAAACAAAAAAACAAAATGTAGTAAAATGACACAAGTAGTAGAAAAACACATGTACAGTCACTTTCAGTCATGTCATTTGAATAAAAATGCAGAGCATAAATGATTATATTATGGACAATGCATTCTGGGAATGTCAGCCAGGAGAGAGTACTTAACTATTCAGTTCCTTGGAACGTTTTTAGCCTAAAAACAAGTATAACATTGGTGATGCTTTTAACCAAACACATGCTTACTGGCTTTACAATTTTGAGGTAAGCTGGTCCATTTCTCGAGCCGCTCACTGCCGTAGAGCTCTGCAACCCTTACTCAGGAGTAGACTGTGACCCATTATGGCAGTTAGTTTTTTAAACTGGTTACACACTTCCCCAATCAGCAAAACAGAAATCCAATCCAATTGACTCACTGAACTCAACATCATCTTGCATACACGCAAACACATAATTAAAAAAAGAAAATAAAAAACATATAAGGCTGGAGATGTCAAGTCATTCCACTCATCGACGATGGACAAATGTCAGTGCTTCATTGTCAAAAGTTAAAATCGCACGTGCGCTTTGAATTCAAATAAACATATAGCTTACCCTCCCATATACGTGAATGAAAAAGTTCTGTGATAAATAACCTCCCTCCCGCATCCCTTTTCTTTCCCTACCCTTGCCCTCCCCTTGTCAATACTGTCTTACATTCCAGTTGTGTGTAGACAGCCATAGGAATAGTCTGTGTTCATCCAAGAGTCTCATTGGCAATAAGTAATGACTCATGAAAATGTCAGGTGGGTCTTTTCTTTGCCTGTCATTGCTATGCCTTGGGCGAGAGGAGTTTTTTGGGGGTGACAGGTCTCTTAGCCTGCCATAGATGGCTGTGGATGGTCACAGCATCAACACTAGCAGACATTGTTTTGGCTGGAATGTGGCTGAACTGCTTGCGATCAGAATTGTACTTGTAGAGGCCATCGATCATTTTCCGGGATATGGAGCGTGGCCCAATTCCCACCAGTTTATTAATCTCTTCTGTTTCTGGATAGTAGGTGTACACTGATCGGAACTCTGGCATCCTGAGTCACGGAAGAGGATCAGGAAATTATGGGCGTTTGATTTCTCCATTTCCTGTAATAGTAAGACAAAAGGGTGAAGTTAGGCTAAAATACCCAAACATAACTGCTGACAATAAAAGAGTCTACCCAAGGATGAACATTGTAGGCTCATCTATACATAACTGCGAGCAAAAGGTGATCAGCATATGAACATGGGGCACACGGGATATTGATGACTCACTGGTGCAAAATGCGTTGTCCACCCGTGAACACAGTTCTTTGACACTGGCATGCATTAATATTAAGAGATACAAACAAGCTGTGACCGATTGGGTGGAGTCCTTCCTCCCACTTTCCTCTATACATTTTTCTAATCCAGCCTATAGATTAAAGTCTATTCATCATTCCATGGATTCCAGTTAATTTTATTTTTCTTTCAACACTCCACCTGGGTTTGCTTCCTCCCAATCCCACTCTCTGGTTAAACTCTGCAATTCTTTGCCAAAGTTTGTGTATTCCAAAAATGCAATACTTCTCGCAGATTTGTGTCTATAAGACTGATATAGCATTGCACTTGGTATTTTATATTACTATACATCTTTGTTCAGAAATGTGATGTTTTTGCATTGTACGCTTTTTTTAAAATATAAATAGTCCATTTAAAAAAATGCAAATAAAGCAAAAAAAAACCAATTGGATTTGTTTTTAATTTGCAGCATGTGACCACCTATTTCTTGCAATTATCACTGGATGTGTATGAGAGCTCACTGATTTAGCTTTTGCTGTTGTAGCGAGCAGATGGAAGGCGAGTTTTCTTTTCAAGGCTCATTCACACCCATGGAAACAAACCATGTTGTGTTATTTGAACATCTATATCTTTATCAGATGAATGCATTTTATTAACACCTTTAATTTTCTAAAATATTAGATCAAATACAGTATGTATGACAAAAAAAAAAATTAAAAGAACCAGTTTCGCATTTTTTATTGGAATTGTATATGCTGGAGATTTATACCCATCAGTTCCTTATATCTCTGGGATACTCAATCAGTGATCTTTCTGTAAATGTGCAGTGGTCATTATGAAAGAGTTCCCACTCTCCCAGCTGGATATGTAATCAATTTTTACTATGGTAATCAGAGGAAGTGATGTAATTGGCAAAATGGGTTTAAATCTCTCAGGTGAAAAAGTGCAGGAAAAATTCATAGCCAAGAAAGTAAAATCGTATTAACCCCCAAATTAAAAATTGCGTATATTATTGCAGTTTTCTTTTGTTAGGCTTTTTCCCCTCCATTTTCACCTGGAAATCTGGCCACAACACACTTCTTGTATTACAATGCCCCCACTCTGGATAAAGTCGTACAGGGACACCTTTGGACAGCATCATTGTCAGTTGTGGGAGGGGATAGTAGGTGTACTAGCAGATTTAAATACACTAACAAACTGAAGCCAAATTCCAGAAATACCTTATAAGCCCAGTTACAACAGGGTTTTTTTTTTTTCCTTTCGGGATAAAGGTTTTACATAAACAAAAACTCATAATTGTAAGCACCCCTGCCACTGTGCATGGTAAATGGTTTGTCTCATCTCTGTAACTAATACATTCCACTGGAGAGCATGTTGTTTCTGAAAAACAACAGACTTACTGGCTGAATCGCCAGTACCATGAAAATTTAACAACAAAGCTTGGATGGAAACGTTAATGCAGCCATCACATCCAAGAAATGGTAAGCTGCAATATAATAAAAGTTTAGTTTTTGGTTTAATACCACTTAAAGCCTATATTGAAAACAATAAGATTTTAAATTAGGCTACATTTTTCTGCACTGCAAATGCACAGAAACGCACGCGAATGCATGTAAATGCACTACAATGCAGTGCACATAATAGCCCACAGAAAAAAGACAGAAGTGACCTCAAAGGGAATGCGCAAGCTTAGGAAAAATGTGCACTGCAAATGCACGTAAAAATGCATGTCCCATGTAAGTCACTGAACATGGGGAAATAATGTACAGTAAACGAACAGATGCTGTTGTGAATGGACCCTTACTGCTCTCAATGCTGGACAGTAGTTATTTTTTAAGCTGTTAAAGAACTCCACAAGGAGAGCTTGGAACTATCACCTCTGTTTTAGATGTAGAACTTGGGACTGTAGTGGGGATCTAAAACTGATGGGGTGCTTAGCACAGATAAGCAGCCAAATTTGTGATTCATCTTCATTATATACAGGAATGATAAGTTAAGTTTTGTAAAATGACCTTTAAGACACACTCTTTAAAGAAAAAACTGTAAGTGACCAGATGACTTAAATTAAATTGTAAAAGCAATGTCACACTGGCACAAAAAAAGCCAATGTTCAGTTTGATGGATATTTTATCAGACACATTTAAGAAGTGTGAAACATGGGGCAGTACGGGATATCTTGATCAGAAGAGCCTGGTGAAAAAAAATGAACTTTTGTACTTACATAAAACGTGAACACAGTTCTTTGACACTGGCATGCATTAATATTAAGAGATACAAAAGCTGTGACCGACCTGCTGGGTGGAGTCCTTCCTCCCACTTTCCTCTATACATTTTTTCTAATCCAGCCTATAGATTAAAGTCTATTCATCATTCCATGGATTCCAGTTAACCCCCCTTTTATTTTTCTTTCAACACTCCACCTGGGTTTGCTTCCTCCCAATCCCACTCTCTGGTTAAACTCTGCAATTCTTTCAAAGTTTGTGTATTCCAAAAATGCAATACTCCTCTCGCAGATTTGTGTCTATAAGACTGATATAGCATTGCACTTGGTATTTTATATTACTATAACATCTTTGTTCAGAAATGTGATGTTTTTGCATTGTACGCTTTTTTTAAAATATAAATAGTCCATTTAAAAAAATGCAAATAAAGAAAAAAAAACCTTGGATTTGTTTTTAATTTGCAGCATGCTGACCACCTATTTCTTGCAATTATCACTGGATGTGTATGAGAGCTCACTGATTTAGCTTTTGCTGTTGTAGCGAGCAGATGGAAGGCGAGTTTTCTTTTCAAGGCTCATTCACACCCATGGAAACAAACCATGTTGTGTTATTTGAACATCTATATCTTTATCCAGATGAATGCATTTTATTAACACCTTTAATTTTCTAAAATATTAGATCAAATACAGTATATGACAGAAAAAAAAAATTAAAAGAACCAGTTTCGCATTTTTTATTGGAATTGTATATGCTGGAGATTTATACCCATCAGTTCCTTATATCTCTGGGATACTCAATCAGTGATCTTTCTGTAAATGTGCAGTGGTCATTATGAAAGAGTTCCCACTCTCCCAGCTGGATATGTAATCAATTTTTACTATGGTAATCACAGGAAGTGATGTAATTGGCAAAATGGGTTTAAATCTCTCAGGTGAAAAAGTGCAGGTGAAATTCATAGCCAAGAAAGTAAAATCGTATTAACCCCCAAATTAAAAATTTTATATTTATTGCAGTTTTCTTTTGTTAGGCTTTTTCCCCTCCATTTTCACCTGGAAATCTGGCCACTAACACACTTCTTGTATTACAATGCCCCCACTCTGGATAAAGTCGTACAGGGACACCTTTGGACAGCATCATTGTCAGTCTGGTGGGAGGGGAATGTTAGGTGTACTAGCAGATTTAAATACACTAACAAACTGAAGCCAAATTCCAGGAAATACCTTATAAGCAGTTTACAACAGGGTTTTTTTTTTTTTCCTTTCGGGATAAAGGTTTTACATAAATAAAAACTCATAATTGTAAGCACCCCTGCCAGTGTTAAATGGTTTGTCTCATCTCTGTAACTAATACATTCCACTGGAGAGCATGTTGTTTTTGAAAAAACAACAGACTTACTGGCTGAATCGCCAGATGAAAATTTAACAACAAAAGCTTAGGACAGAAAATTAATGCAGCCATCACATCCAAGAAATGGTAAGCTGCAATATAATAAAAGTTTAGTTTTTGGTTTAATACCACTTAAACCTATAATTGAAAACAATAAGATTTTAAATTAGCTACATTTTTCTGCACTGCAAATGCACAGAAACGCACGCGAATGCATGTAAATGCACTACAATGCAGTGCACATAATAGCCCACAGAAAAAAGACAGAAGTGACCTCAAAGGGAATGCAAGCTTAGGAAAAATGCACTGCAAATGCACGTAAAAATGCATGTCAAATGTAAGTCACTGAACATGGAAAAATGTACAGTAAACGAACAGATGCTGTTGTGAATGGACCCTTACTCTCTCAATGCTGGACAGTAGTTATTTGTTTATTCCTCATAAAGAATCCACAAGGAGAGCTTGGAACAATCACCTCTGTTTTTAAGAGCGGTAGAACTTGGGACTGTAGTGGGGATCTCAACAGTGGGGTCTTAGAAAGATAAGCAGCCAAAATGTGATTTCATCTTGCCAGAAGCAATACAGGAATGATAAGTTAAGTTTTAGGTAAAATGGACTTTAAGACACACTCAAAAGAAAAACTGCAGTGACCAGATATCTTAAATTAAATTGTAAACCTGCACCACAGCACAAACAAAAGCCTATTGTTCAGTTTGATGGATAGTTTATCAGACCATTTAAGAAGTGTGAAATGCAATGATATGCAGTACAGGTTTTATCTTATCAGAAGAGCCAGAAAAAAATAGAACTTTTGTACTTACCATAAAATCCTTTCCTTGAAGTTCATTCAGGGACACAGGAATTCAGATACAGTCAGGCTATACAGCCACCTACAGGAGGATTGGACACTGGCAAACAGAAAAACTGTAAGCCCTGTATAATCCCTTCCTCTAACCCAGCATGCCTCAGTTTTGTGGAAAAGCAGTATTAAGAGTGTGAACAGAAACACAGTGGGGTGGGACCAGTGTCCCTAAATGGACTCTGAAAAAAGGATTTTATTTAAGCACAAAAAATCCTATTTTCTTTGTAGTCAATTAAGAATCATCTTCTTCTGATACTGTTGGGATGTCTAAAACATCTAATGGGTGGGCAAACAAGCAACAATTGCAAACAGGCCTTACAAAGACTGGGGATTGCCTGTAGACCAAGAGCAGCCAG